TCAATGAACTGATGAGGATTTGCTGGTCAGTGGTCAAGGTCACTGTGAGCTGAAAAGCAATATCTCAAGAATGTTTTGAGGTTATTTCCTCAAATTTGGCACAAACATTTACTTGGACATCATAATCAATGAACTGATGAGGATTTGCTGGTCAGAGGTCAAGGTCACTGTGACCTTGCATCTGTCTTATCTCGTGTATGCCTTGAGGCAACCTTAAAATTTGGCACAAACATCCACGTGGCTGCAAGAATGAATTGATTAGAATTCGCTGGCCAAAGGTCAGAGTTACTGGACTCAAGAATGAACTTATCAGAATTTGCTATTCAAAGATCAGTGTGACCTCACAAAACATTATGACAAAATTTTACACAAATGTCTAACAGGGAAGAATAATGAGGTGATGACATTCTAAATCCAAAAGGTCAAAGGTCAGCTTCACTGTGACAGTTATTTGGCCATTACTCTATGCCAGATCTCGGGAGCAGAAGTCCATCTCTTGTAATGATACAGGAACATAAAAGGTCTAAACTCAATTTGTCCATGAACTCACCTCCTCTGCTGAGCTGTAACATTTAACCTGTGATGGTCTGTGGGCTTATGGGAAATGGAGTTCATTAAAGGCTGGTAAAACAGAAATATTTAAAAAAGAATGTTCATTGTGATTCTTACTACTAGAAGAGAACCAGGAAGTTCTGGTTTCACTTCTGCTCTTTGTTAACTTTCCTCCTCCTCCTCCTCCTCCTCTTCCTCCTCCTCCTCCTCCTCCTCCTCCTCCTGCAGAGCGGTGGTGTGAGCGTTATGGAGACCTGCGGGGGGAGCTGCTGTGCGTGGAGCTGGAGAAGGAGCGGCAGGGTTTGGGTCTCAGCCTGGCAGGAAACAGGGATCGTTCCCGCCTCAGCATCTTTGTGGTGGGACTCCACCCAGGCGGGGCGGCTGCTCGAGACGGACGCATCCAGGTTGGAGACGAGCTGTTGGAGGTGAGAACGTCTACATGATGGATGACAGATATTCATGTTCCCCAGAGGATGAACCTCCTTTCCTCTGTCGTCTCCATGAAATTAAGCTTTGTAGTTTTGAGTCAAATATCTACAGGATGGACTGTGATAAAATGTGGTTCATCATTCATGTTCCTCTCAGTATGAACTGTAATAACTTTGGTGACCTCTGACATTTGATGTAGCACCATCATAAGTTTTATGACCAAAAACCTGCAGAACTAAAGACACGCACATGGCGCTGTCGCCAGGTGATTAAACCTTTGAAAAAACTCAAATATATCTTGAGTGCCTTTTTCTGTTTTAATTGTAGCTGATTTTACTACACTGTTGTTTTTATCATTTGTTTTATGGCACTTTGAGATTCCTTGGAATGTAAAGTGCATTATAAATAAGAGTTACTGTTGTTCACAAACTAAAGAAATGAGAGATCATTTTTCTTTAGTTTTCTTTTCTTTACTGAAGATTTGAAGCAAACTGTGAAACTAGATCACTGATTTTGTTGCAATTCTTTGTTCTTTAATTAATAATAAAATGTATTTATTTTTTAACTAATCTGTCATAGCATCAGAATATTGTTATCACAAAAATACCCTCAAATATCCTGATATTAGTTTAGGGCCATATCACCTGGCCCTGCTGCTCACTGCTCCAGTTTGCAATACGCCAGGTACAGACACACCTGGCTTTTGAAGGGGAATGGGAGATGACACACGCGCGTTACGCCCATAACACACCTATGATTAATTAAGGAACTAAAAACAACCCCTTTGTTCCTTATATCTGACTTTGTGCCCAGATCATGTGCTGTTAAACCAGCTGAGCGGGGCTGGATCAAGATGATGTGTCTGGGCCACATCACAGCGCTCTAACTGCATCACATGACTGTCACATCATTTTACATTTTATTGCATCACATCACAGATGAACAACATCCCATCATCTGCAGAATAATCAATAACCAGTAAATGTGTCTGTCAGCGAGGACGAGAACAGCTCTGTGTGTGTGTGTGTGTGTGTGTGTGTGTGTGTGCGCGTGTGCATGCGTGTGTGCGCGTGCGCATGTGTGTGCACGCGGGGGTTTCCAATTTATTCATATAAATATTTAACACAGAAACACTGAGATGCTCTCTGTCTCTGTGTCTCGCCCTCCTCCTCATTACAGCGGTGTCAGAGGCTCCATGAACAATTGATGTTCAGCTGAGGAAAGCCTTGACAATTACACACACACACACACACACACACACACACACACAGATTTACATAGATAAAAGACATATTAGTGTAAAAATCCATATTAGGATGGAGGATACACACACACACACACACACACACATTACAGAACATTTTCATCATGTAACTTCCTTGTATTTTATCAAGCTTGTGTGTGTGTGTGTGTGTGTGTGTGTGTGTGCATGTGTTTTGTGTGTGTGTGTGTGTGTGTGTGTGTGTGTGTGTGTGTGTGTGTGTGTGAAAATGAGATATTGATTTAACATTTGAAGATGCTTCCAACTGGCTGTAGTTTACGACATCGCAGCTCAATGACCTTTCAATTAATGCCCGTCTCAATTAAATGTGTGTGTGTGTGTGTGTGTGTGTGTGTGTGTGTGTGTGTGTGTGTGTGTGTGTCTGTTGATATGGAGAATCATCAATCCGTAACATTGAGATAGAGCGGGGTTCTGCAGTCTGTATGTATGGTCAGATCACAGTGTTATTTTGACACCATTATTAATAACAATAACAACAGTTATGATAATAATCATTTATTATTGTTGATAATGTGAGGCTGTATATCTTATCATATACGTATAATAGATTATTGTTGTAATTGTAATTATCAACTACAGCAACAATTATATTTTTTGTGTTTTTTTTTTTTAAAGAAAATGATGATGATGATGATGATGATGACTCGCTCAGTGTGTGATATGATGATATATTTCTAACTGTCTGAACTCTCGTGACGTTTCAATAAGAATGTGTCAGTGTCTGTTTTATAGAAACAAGGTTTATCGATAAACTCCTGTTATTTTGTGTTTCAGATTAATAACCAGATCCTTTATGGGCGGAGTCACCAGAACGCCTCGGCCATCATTAAGAGCGCCGCCTCCAAGGTGAAACTCATCCTGCTCAGGTAGGACTGCAAGGCATGCTGGGAAACTTTAAGACCAAGTACCAATTAGATGACAGGCGGTCTGCTCTTCCTGACTCATTTCTTCATACACTTAAATTTTTTTGTGTGTGTATTTCATTTTAGTTTTTCAAAATATGAGTTATGACTAATTAAATTAAATACTATGCTACAAAGAGGGGGAATGGGGGGTGTGAGAGATAGGTGAGTTTTATCCACAATTGCATGGTCTCTTATAATTCTAATGTGGCAAAAATAGAACATACAGACAGTCATTCAATCGTATGGGACAGGAGATTTTCCATATTATTATATTCTTTTCTCAAGAGATGCGACTGCCATCCACTTAATTGCAATACATTTTTTGGCAACAGCCAATAGGATTTCTGTAAGCTTGATGGAATGTCTCATATTAGTATGAAAGATATAGCCCAAAAGGCAAACTTCCAGATCCACTGGAAAAATGACTCCATGGATTGTGGACAGGGCGTCATGGATCCCCTGCCAAAAGCCACATTCTTCAAACACAAGTACACAAGTCAGCTTCATTATAACTCGCAGCATTCACAGACAAACACTTGTCTTTATCTGGACACATTTTCCCCACAAATACAACATGCTAACATTATTAGCACAAGCCTATGGCATTTTACACTGTATAAATTAGCCTAGCAGCTAGCAGAATTTTCCTCTACTCATATGAAGCCAGGGACAACAGCAACATTTAACAAAGGTAACGTTACAAAATTCGTCTCCATTACAGCTCACAGCATTCACTGACAAAACAACTGTCTTATACTAAACATGTTTTCCAAACAAATACAAAATGCTAACGTTATTAGCGCCAGCCTATGGCATTTTACATTGTATAAAGTAGCCTAGCGACGAGCGGAGATTTCCTCTGCTCATATGAAGCCAGGATAAATCACAGTTGTTGTTTCTTGTTTGTGAAATTAAAGTAAATCAAAGTTTTGTTTCCACTGAGGGAAATGTTTTCAGCTTACAGAGACAGACAGGAGGTCTGCGTCACTGTGACGTGTAGCTACATTTCTGGGGAGGTGCACGTCAGGGTACGGCGTCGATTCGACGTAGAAGTGTAAATCACGGATTAATGTCACCAATACAGTATTTGACCAAATGTCTCCCCTTCTGTTCCTGAGATATGATGTTGAATAATGGCAAGAAAAATGTTTTATGCAGAACATTATGATGTCACAGTGACCTTAACCTTTGACCACCGAATTCTAATCTGATTATTCTGGAGACCAAGAGGACATTTGTGCCAAATTTAAGTAAATTCACTCAAGTTGTTTTTGAAGTATCACATACAGGAGAATGTGACAGATGTGACCTTGTCACAGTGACCTTGACCTTTGACCACCAAAATCGAAGCAGTTCATCATTGATGTTTGTGTGAAATTTTAAAGATATTCCCTTTTTGTGATATTGCGTTCACGCAAATGGGCCGGACGTGCGGACAACCCAGAAACATGACGCCTCCGGCCATCGCTGGCGTGGAGGCATAAAAAATATCTATTAATGTAGTGACATCACAGCCTCACTCTGTGAGGTGATTTTATAAACTAATAAATGGCATCAACTGGGCTGAAACAGTTTGTGTCCTCACACTGAGCCGTCTGTGGGGGTCACGCTCCAGTCCACGCAGCAGCATGGACTGGAGGTGTGTAGATTGTTGCGCATGGTGTGGAACCAAAGTGTGGCTGGAGGACACTCAGAGGAAACACAGATCAGATGGTGGAGGTGTGTGAAGACACATTTATTATTTAGAGTTTAATGTTGGCACTTAATTTTAGATTAAACTGAGATTTATTTCACTGTGACAGGAGATTTTTTCACCTTTTTTAATAATTACAAACCCTCCAAAGGGAGTTAAACTAAGACTGGATGTATTATGGTCTGCGCAGCTGAAGGCTGATGGAGCTCATATTCCCCTGTGGAGCAGAACTCCACTGTGCTCCAAAATCTATTAAAAACACATGAAAAAAAGCAAATCTGTTGCAGCAAGTGAGACTCAGATGATACTCCTGGTGAGAAACACTGAGCTGCTCAAAACAATAGGTTAACAACAATATTAATTAATTCATCCGATTTCCGTAACCGCTTATCCTGTTGGGGGTCACAGGGGGCGGAGCCTATCCCAGCTGACACTGGGTGAGAGGCAGGGTTCACCCTGGACAGGTCACCAGACTCTATCACAGGGCTGACACATAGAGACAGACAACCATTCACACTCACATTCACACCTGGAGGAAACCCACGCTGACACCACTGCGCTGTCACAATAACATATATATTTTTTGTATGTAATTAATTTCAGTCACAGCAAACAACAGTGGCTGTCTAATAACGTAGAGCAGGGACCAGTGATATAGAAACACATGCCTAATTGGCCGCCATGTTGGAGAGGATAAGGCTTGCCTGCAAACGAATGAAAGTAAACAGGGGAGCTGCAGTTTTTGTGGATAAAAATAACGTTAATATTTCTCTACCAATTTCACTGAGTCGTTTTTATGTTCATGGGTTTATGATCTATGTGTTGTAGAAAAAAGTTTTGTCTCCAGTTAATTCGAATCTTGATATTTGTCATGGTGGTCTGTTGTGTATGTGTGGAGACTGTTCTGAGCTGACGTCAGATTCACAGCCTGAGTTACCGTCTCAGTCAGAGTCCATATGTGAAGAATAAAAAACGGTCCTGACTCTCGAGAGGACACTTTCACTGATATGAGAAATGTTGCTGTGACCCTGAGACGATCAGGGATCAGTCTGAGAGCAGAGGACACGAAGGATCCAGAGACTCAGTCAGATTCACTGATGTTACAGTACAGGAGTGTTTTTATAGGCAGGTGGAGGCAGCAGGCGGGAGGAGAGGTGGGGGAGGGAGCGATGTGTTCAGGGAGAGTCGAGAACGTGAAGAGTTTCTTAAACAGAAACTCCCCTTTTAATTAAAATGGTGCCGAACCTGCTGCCATCACCAGAAATTCCCGCGCTAAGCCGAGGAAGACGAGCCGAGGAGTTTTTTGCCTCTTCTCTTCTGTGGTCACAAGTTTGCTTTTCTTTGAATACAATGGGGTTCACAGCCTTTAATACGGCGCTGATGGAGGGGCAAGTGTCTCATTCAGCCAGCAGAGAGCTGCAGGAGCTCCACCACCAACTCTGTGTGACTCCGCTGCCTCTGTTTCCTCTGAATCTCTGGATTCGATCAAACTGCATTGATCCTCCAGCTGAAAATGGGTCATGGCAGCAGCGGCAGAGACAGCAGCGTCAGACCAGAATAGAACAAATCAGAGAAAGCAGAAGACTGTGAAACAGGTAAAAAACACACACACACACCTTCCAAAAGAAGCTCCTGCTAAGATTCCTGATGCTGCAGCAGCTGGAGGAAACATACAGCTCAGAGCCAACATGGCTGCCGTCACAAACCAGCTGCAGCTGAGTGGTGAAAAGAAATAATGTCTGAAACACTTAATCACGCACATCTGAATTAGAGATGCACGATTTATATCGGGTCGATAATTATTGGCCAATAGTGGGACATTTTTATTTTCATGCATTATTCTGATCGTTAAAATTATAGCCGGGCAATACACATTTTCATACACATTTGGGTCCTAGAATAATAAACTCAGTTGCTTTTTTGCTCCACTAGATGGTGCTGATGTTTGTTTTTTTCCCTAGTGAGGTCAGCAGAGGTCTCAGTCAGCAGCATTTGGCAGGAAGTTCATCAAAACAAAGATGGAGGCCCCAGAGAAAGAAATCAGAAATGCGCCATCAGTGTTTAAACCAAACATCTGGACTTGTTTTGTATTTTTTAACACAGGAGGAGGACTTGGATATGACACGTGTGATTTACAGCAGTGTCATATGACAATAAAATACTCTGGGAATACTACAACCATGAGGGCTCACCTCACACGCCACCATCCAGAGATAGCGTTAGCTAGTCTCGCTCACCAGACCTTTCTCAAGAAAACAAAGGTCTGGCTGGGCCGACTCTCACTGTGAGATTGGAGAAAAAAACGCCCCGGCTGCTTGTACTTCTTTCAACCAATCACAGTCGTTCTGGGCGGTGCCACAGCAACGGTGCACTTGCAAAATTGCCGGGGGGAAACAGGTTTTGGTGTAACACGCCCACAAAAATATCACCTACAGGACGCGAACCATGGCAGAAAAATGGCTACATCCCCGCAAGATCAAACACCGCAAAAGTTAGTAAAGTACGTGTTGAAAACGGTTGAAAACTGCTACACAACCGGAGGTGGTAGGGCGGGACTTCAGCGGGTGGCTCGTTCCGCCCAATGAGAGGCTGATCTATGCAGCGAACTTCCGCCCACTCAGACTAAGCGTTAGCTAACGCTAAACACGCTCCAGCGAAAAATCAACCAACACTGGACACACTTAGCTCGACACAACTACCATCCAACTGTGAGAGAGCCAAGATAATAACACAGTCCATCACCTACTTCCTGTTCAAAGATCTGCGTCCATACAGCGCTGCTGAAAACCAAGGCTTTTGTTACATGCTAAAAACACATGAACCCAGGTATGTGACTCCGCCCCCACATTTTTTTCACCAACACAGCCGTACCCGAGCTCTACAGAGAGGTGACGCATAAAGCTGAGGAACCTTTGAGTACAGCAGGAAGGGTGGAGTTAACCTGTGACGCCTGGACTTCAAGCTCAGAGGATTCACATGTGACTATAACAGGACATTATCTGACAGAGGACAGGAGACTGCTGTCACCTCTAACATGTGTGATGTCATTCAGTCAGCAGGACACCTGCATGTGAAGTGTTTGTGTCTGTCAGGCGTAAGCAGCATTTCTGACAGGCGTTTTGATGCTGTTGGTCAGTCTGTCCGCTCTGTGTCACAGTTTGCTGCAATAAAAATGATTAAAGTCGATTAACAGCCTGAAAACTTTATCTTAGCAGGTAAATCGTGACGTATCGTGATAATACCGTATCGTGGGTCACCTGGTGATTCC